CGGCTCCTGGTGTCTGCGCAGCCACTCCTCCCAGTTTGGTGTCATCAGCGAACTTGCTGAGGGTACACGCTGTCCCCTGTCCCCTTTTGAACCTTTTAACCTTGTTGCACAGCAGGGATTGAAGTCTCGTGAACAAATAAGCTCGGAAAAATGTGGAAATTGGCAGGTGGGTAGAGGAGGGGGGGCTCAGGCTAGTGCCTCCCCTGTGGAAAATGCAGAGAGATGATGTCCTTTCCTGGTGCTGTTTGGTGGCAGCCATGTGCCAGCTCTGCCTTTAACCAGAGCACTGATGCATTTTCTGAGATGTTTGGGGGGTGACAAGAGATTTTGGAGGAGACGAGACCTTCAGCTCAGCTATCCAGGTGACAGCTTGGTTATTCCTGTTCTCTGGTGCATCCCTCAGCTTGCGTTCTGCAAAACTGTGTCCTAGCCTCTACCTACTTGTGACAGCATGTTGCGTGAGCAAGCTGCATGCTTGTGCAGCAGGGTGGGGATCAGGACTCAGCGGCGTGCAGCTTCTCCATCAAGTCCTTGGTTTTGGTTTCTGTCTTGCATCAGAGAAAGGAGAAGCACTTGCTCAAATTCCTCTGTCTCCCACTGCAAATAACAGCGAGCTTTCTGATTATCTGACATGTCCTAGCCTCCTCTGAACCCACAGCGGACTGTGTGCCTCCCAGGAAATCCTCTCTTGCTCCTAGTAAGCTTCTTAGGAAGGAGGCAGAGTCTGCAGCAGGCATGTCCGCTAGGAATGGGTGAGCAACATGCAGGGAGTGTTTGTTTAATGTCAGGCTGTTACGGGCTGTCTTACCCCGGTGTGTAATTCCTCTTCCCTCAGAACAAACCCACGAGGTTGATTTGCTCAAAGGTGGCGTCATTTCTGCTGCAAAGGTAGTGATAACCACAGTGCTTGGGTCTCTCTGGGAGGACAAAGATGCTCAGCTAAGAGGGTCTCTTTCCAGGTCAGACACTATTTTGTGGCTTTTGATACCTTGTGGAGTTCGAAAACTTCAGTGCAAAGCATATGTCACATGAGCAAGCTCCCTGGCTTGCTTGCCTATCACATGGCATTTAATGCCACAACCTTTTTGGGCTCCCACAATGACCTGTAGTATGTTACGTCTTGAACCTAAACAGCAAATGCAGGAGGACAGAGCACTAAAGCTTGCTGGGTAAATTGAAAGCAGGTCTGAGCTCATGTTCATGTGTTCTGGGGATGAGGTACAAACAGAACCATGGACACTATGGCTTGCTCTGCAGGCATGGACCTGACCTCGGTCCTTCCCTCATGCAGTGGAAATAAAGGCTATTGGAAATCCTGCTGCCATCCTCCTAGGTGGACTTATCGTTTCACCTGGCCTCTAACAAACACAGCAGCTTGCAGGCAGGGAGAGAGCCCTGTCAAAACCACTTCCCCGTGAGGAAGAGGGAGATCCAGCTTCAGTATGGTTATGTCGGTGCTTGATGTTGCTCATTCAGATCCTGTACCCTTGGTGGGATGTTATTCAGACCCATGAGATGTGACCAATTTCCTTTTTCGCTTCCTGCCCCAATTGACTAGGTGCCCCGTGATGGGGGTGGCCGCTCACTTCCTCTTTGGAATTGTTTGAGGAAGGGATTGCTGCACATGTATCTACTTCCCGCAGGAAAGTGTTTAAAAAGGGCAACATGGGAACCTGGCCAGCTAAAGTGGTGAAGCCCCTCCAGGTTGATGCTGGTGCTGGGATTAGGAGCCTCTTTTTATTGGAGCCCAATGCAGTGTTTGTTCTCCATGGCATTGCTCTTACGCTTGTCTTTCTTCTCCATGCCTGCAGGCAGTTTCCAGGATGTGGGAACATAGTGACATTCTCCCAGTTCCTGTTTATTGCGGTGGAAGGCTTTATCTTCGAAGCCAACTTTGGGAGGAAGAGGCCAGCCATACCAATAAGGTACAGTTGATCTGAACACCTTTGCTAGGCAAAAATTGACTGGCTATCTATTATCTCAAGAAGTGTTTAATAAAATGGCTTATCCGTTTATCCTGTCTAAATCCCATCCATTCTGCGGCATTTGCAAAGCCTCATTGAGAACCTGTCATGCCTGATAAAATATGAACTCCTCGTTTATCGAGAATTCTTAATAGGAAATTGCCATCATATACTTTCCTGTCCAAGAAACAGTATTTTGCACAGTTAAGAGTTTGAAGAGGTGGCTGTCTTTCTGGGGCTTGGTGCAGTGGGCGTGGGAGGGAGAGGTTTGCTGGAAAGCCAGCCAAATTCACTTTTGCATTTCTTCATCAGAGCTGATCTTGTCCTGGCAATAGCCTGGCATGCTCATGCTCTCCTCCCTGGCACTCAGTGGCTGACGTGAAGTGAGAAGGTTTTATGGGGCTCCTTAGCAGACTCCCTAGCCCATGGCAAAACAGCGCTGTGCTGAGTGTGTGGGACAGAGATCCTCATGACAGAAAGTTGAGGGCAAGTTTAGTGCCATTCATGGCTGCTTCTGGGATTAGCACAGCCTGAGCCAGTGCAGGTCGGCCTGCTTCCAGTTCTAAGGACTTCCCTGCTACATCCAAAGTGGATTGACCTCCTTGTTAGTCCTTGTCACAGACCCAAGAGCTAGGTGGGCTCCTGCAAAGCTCCAGACCTTGCAACCTGTAATCTGTTCCCAAGGTGTCTCCCAGCATCCCAGGGAGCTACACACACAGCTATCAGCTGGGGTTTTTTGTGTTTGTGTTTCAGGTACTATTTTATCATGGTGGCCATGTTCTTCACCGTCAGTGTGGTGAATAACTATGCCCTGAACTTAAATATCGCCATGCCGCTGCACATGATCTTCAGATCAGTGAGTACTGTCATACCATCCCTTTCCTCCTCCTGTGACATCTCTTCCCATCGTCTCTGCAAGCACTGGTCCTTAATGTGTGTGTCCTGCCACCCTCTCTTCCCCTGAGGGCACCAAAATCCTGTGCAAATACTAAACTCCAGTTAACTTGTGGGGAGAGCAACCTTGCTCTGAAGGCTCAGCTCCAGTTCTCACTTTCACACTGTTGATCATTAAATTTCAACTTAATGGACAGATGAGGAAACTGAGGCTCAAACAGCCTTCGTATTTCCAAAGGTGATGGGGAAGTAACACTGTCAAAACCAAGCCCAGACTCCATCTGTCAGCCCTGGATGGACTGAATTGCTGGCCAAAGAGACCCAGCTTTCCCTTCCACCACACAGCTACACCAAGCGGTTTGTGTCCTAGTGTAGGCGACTTGGTTAAACACCCCAGGTCAGAGAGTGTGGATTTGGCCTAGTTCTACCTTGCAGTGTTACTGCATACGTCTTTGCTTTGGAAAATGCTATTAAAATGCATCTTCACTCAAGTGTAGATGAGTGTCAGGCTAAAAACATCTGTTAAAACCCCAAAAAAGGAACCCCAGCTGTTGGGAATAACAAAATCTGCTGGGCAGATGTGCTGGGTGGGGGCTGTTCTCCCACAACATGTCATGGGGTTGAGATACCTGAAGTCAGGAGAGGTTAAAAAGAAGAAAAACAGGCAACACTCTAGGAGACCCATCCCACCTTAACCATGAGGGATGGTTCTTGTATTGCAGCCCTGCAGTCAATCTATGGAGCCACAATCCTGTTCCCAGTTAAAAACACAGCGTTTTGGCCGCGTTCTGGTCTGCAGCACACACTGAGCATCATGAGTGGGCCAAAAAAGGGGAAGGCCCACTGGCCAGAACATCCTAGTAGCCTGTTTGCCCCAGTGTCCTTGTTCCCGAGCCACCCAGCTCAGCTTCTCCCCTCCTCCTAGCTGAAGTGAGACTCATAGAATTATTTAGATTGGAGAAGACCTTTAAGATCATCAAGTCCAACTGTTAACCTAACCCTGCCATCCCACCACTAAACCCTGGCCCTAAGCACCTCATCTATCCTTCTTTTAAATACCCCCAGGGATGGGGACTCGACCACCTCCCTGGGTAGTCCCTTCTAGTGCTTGACAACCCTTTCTGTGAAGAAATTATTCCTAATATCAAACCTAAACCTCCCCTGGCAGAACTTGACGCTGTTTCCTCTCATCCCCACCCTGTTGGTCTCCCTGATCCTGTTCTGGCATTTCTGTTGGTGTTTTGCCATTAGCTGTATTGAGTTTGTGGTGTTTCTCTGGGGTGGGCATCCCAGTCTGGGCAAGTTTGTCATGCTGATCTTTATTTTGGTTTTCTCCTCTCTTCTTTCCCAGGGTTCTCTCATAGCAAGCATGGCTCTAGGTATCATCATTTTGAAGAAAAGGTAATTCACAAGCCTCTTTCTTATATCATCAGGGAATGTTCTGCCACTGACTTAATCCTGACTGGTGTTTAGAGCCCTCCCTTTCCCTGTTAAATATTCTTGTTTTACTGATGGGGAAACTGGGACACACAGGTGTGCCTGGACTAGAGGCTGGAACAGTTCCCTCTTCTACATTTCCACCACCCCTCACTCCATTTAAGGCAAGCATGGACTGAAAAGAGTGATTTTACACATGACTCCAGCCTTCTGTGTTACCTTTTTTCTTTCCTCTTACTTCTCTGAGGCCAGTACCACTCCTGATAGATGGCTGCAATGGGTCTGGCTGGGACGGAGTTAACTTTATAGCAGCCCATATGGTGGTGTGTTTGGGATTTGTGGCTAAACCAGTGTTAATAGCACACTGATGCTTTGGCAGTTGCTGAACAGTGTCAAAGCTCTCTGGTTTTCCCACTCTGCCCCCTGAGCAAGTAGGCTGGGGGTGGACAATAAGTTGAGAGGGGATACAGCTGGGACAACTGGCCCAAAATGGCCAGAGGGTATTCTATGCCAGATAATGTCGTGGACTGTGATAGAAAGGTTGGACTCGATGATCGCAAAGGTCTTTTCCAACCAAAGTGATTCTATGATTCTATTAAACCAGGGTAGCAAAGAAGGGGTTTGGGGGGAGTGGTGGCCAAGGTGGCCATGCTTATGGGAGGTGGTGAGTGATTGCTTTTGCATTGGGTTTGTTGGTTTTTCCTCCCCCTCACCTGTTAAACTCTTTAGCTAAACCCATGAGCTTTCTCATTCTTGCTCTTCTAGTTCAGTCCCCCATCCCATGAGGCTGGGGGAATGAGCGAGTGGCTCTGTAGGTGCAGAGATCCACACTAGATCTGGCTTTGATCTGAGAAGGATCCCTTGCCACGGGCAAGAAGATCTTGGTCCAAATGCTTTTTTTTGTTGCAGTTGGAGGCAGTTGGCCTTCCCTCCCAGCAATGTCCAATGTTAATGAGTATATGCCCATCACCCCAAGTTCACACTGGTGTGATGGGGCAAAATGCAGTGCAAGGGAGCAGTAGATGAACAACGTGAGGCTGGGCTCGATCACTGACATCTGTCTTCGTCTCTGTGCAGATACAGCATATTTAAATACACGTCCATAGCCCTGGTGTCCCTGGGGATCTTCACCTGCACTTTCATGTCTGCAAAGCAAGTGGTAAGGATTGGAAAGGGCCTGAGGTCATAGCTGTGAACCTTGTTGACAGGAGGAGCTGCTGCGAGCACCTTCATCAGCAATTCCCTTTGCCTGACTATTAATGGGGAGACAAGAAGCCTCCTAGCTCTAGATCTGCTCCCCGAAATCTCTTGTTTCTGGTCTCATTTTCCTGTGGTTTGGAGGGAAAGGGACACACACACATGCATGTGATTTAGCTTAATTACACATGCCTTTTATCCTGTGTTGTTCAGGTTGCTTTTTGCTGAGAATACACCATTTTTTTTTTCCACAGCTGGAAGCTGTTTTCTCTTGCCCTTACTGCAGTGTGCTGCAGTAGGAGCAGGTGAATCTTAAACAAAACTCAGCCATCCTAAATCTTTGCTCTTTTTTATCCCAGAAGCAATTGTTGGCTTTCAGGCTAAATTTTTCCAGACCTTTTGTCATCCAGCGTGACTTTCTGTGACCCTTGAAATAAAGTGCATGTGTTTGGACAACAGGAGGGAACGAAGAAAATCCACGTGCAACGCCACTTTGAGCTTTTCCTGGGTCAGCACCCACAGCCTGATCTTGTCAACTGAAGACAGAAAAATGGCATAAAGTGGTGGTCAAGTGAAAACTGGGTGCACTTAATCCAGCTCTGAGAGATTGGAAAGAAACAGGGCTGTCAGATCTCCGAGTTCCCCATCACTGAACAGCTATGTATACTCTTAGGGTGTCTAGGAAGTCTGTGCTACAGGGCCTTGCTCTGAATTAAGCCAGATTAACTCTGGGCAGGTGTGGGGCTTTGGTATAGTACGGACAGTTGTGGCAAAGGTGAGTAATTGAATTTGCCCTAAATCACAGTAAAAGAGAGTTGAGCCAAGTCATGCTACCTAGTGTTTTACACTTGGCTAACAGCATCTACAGGCCCGGCTTTCTCAATCTCTTGACCGCAAGCCAGAGCCCTGGTTTTAGTCCCTGACTGGGGCTTGGCCAGAGCTCTTGTTCTTTCCTGCACGCTCACCTCTGAGATGGGGACAGAGGGACCTGCCAGTGGGCTGTCTGTGGGAGCTCTTTAAGTGGCACTGATTATTTTTGTGGTTGAAGAGTTCCATCTCTGGCCAAGGCACGGCATTTCCTTCAGAAAAGCTACTTTCTTGATCAGGCGTTTCCACTTTGGCTGGGATCTGGTGCATTTCCTGAAGCAGAGTGGAAGGCAAAGTGGAAAACAAAGCTCTGTTCAGCCAGGGAAGCAACTCTGGAGAATGTGAGACCTTGGATGCTCTTTGCTTTATGGGCTTGCTTGGAACATAACACACAAACCAAGAGTGAGGTACAGGCAGGTCCGAATGAGCTGCAGGGCCATGGGATCTCACGGTGACTGTGTTGTGTCTCCCTCCACCAGGCATCTGACTCCAGCTTAAATGAAGAGGACGGACTCCAGGTTTTCTTGTGGTGGCTGCTAGGTATGTGAGTGCCACATCTCCAGCCAACCTTGCTGGGATACTGGCAAGGTTCAGCTCTCTGATGTCCTTCGCCACGTGGGTTATGCAAAACGTGGTGGGAGTCCCCTCGATGAGGTTAAGTTGTACTGAGCATCTGGAAGATGCTGATTTGCAAAAAAATGGGGTTTAGTGGCTCTCGTTAGCTGCTTTGTGCAGGGAGATGTTCTTCATTTGCCCAACAACTTAAGTACAGCACCTAAGGGGTTTCTGCAAGGTACTGGCTTAGTGACAGAGTGAGACTACAGTCAGGCATGTTTGCAGATAGCTTCTTGATTTCCCTCTGCAAAAGCAGCCCTACCTGATGTATCTGACGCTGTGAACTATGCTGCAGAGAGGGAGAAGGGCTGTAGCTGGTTCAGGTGTTCATTCAGCACAGGATTTCATGGGGGAGTCTTTACAGTCTGGCACTTGAGTCTATTTTTGTGCCTCCAACCTAAATTTATCGGTGGCTTTTCAGGGAACCTGGGATTGTTGTATTGTCAATAGTGGCAAACAACTGGATCCCTGGTATCCCAACAACTCTGCTTGCCAGCGCTGAGTCTCTCTTTAAAGAGATGATCTTTTCAGAAGTCTCTTGGCATCACAGCCTTTGTAAAGATACCCCTGTCCTCAAGACCGCTATCAATTTTCTGCCCCTCTTATCAAGTCTGGATGCTTTGGCTCTTTTCATTGAAAGCCAAATCAAGGGAGTCGTCGAGCTGTTTGACTTGAGCTATGCCATCCCTGAGCAGCGTTGCAAGGCTGTGCTTCTGTTCCAGGTGTTGCTGCACTCACTTTCGCCCTCCTCATGTCTGCCAGGATGGGGATTTTCCAGGAGATGCTGTACAAGCAGTTTGGAAAGCACTCCAAAGAGGCCCTTTTTTACAATGTAAGTCACCGTATCTTTTCTGTTGCTTTTACTGGGCAGATAGATCTGCTAAGAGAGTCCCTTCCCCTCCCGCCCCGCACTCGGCACAAATCCAAAGGCTCGTACGCTGCAAGGCTGGAGCAGTGAAGAGCGTGGTCTCATCCAGACGTGTGAGGCTGGTTTCCCAGGATGGGAAGGGGGGTGGGTTCACACAATCTGTTGACATCATGTCTTTACTTTTCTCTCCAGCATGCGCTACCGCTCCCTGGCTTTCTCCTCCTTGCCCCAAACATCTACCACCATGCAGTCCTCTTCAGCCAGTCTGGTGAGTGTTGCACGGATGGATCCTTGCTCTCGTACCCTTCTGGAAAGTGCTGTAGGAAGCTTTCAGGCCAGCAGTTGCGCACGTCAGACTTGTTGTCTTGGATATTCGAGCCCTTTGAGTTTTCAGGTTTAGTAGGAAGCCAAAAAAACCACCCCATGCTGTCTTGGGCACATTGTCCAACCTCTTCCTCATGGTAGGCCAGATGCCAGCGTGCTTGGACAAGTGGTGAGTGGTGACTGCTGAGAGCCGGGCCCTGGGCAGGTGACCGTTCGGCGGGCACCACAGCAGCTTGCAAAGCGAAGCCGTGAGTTACTGCTTGGATCAGTGGGGTTAAACCCCAGGCTTCACATTAACACACACGCATACGCTGGTCAGGCCCAGCCAGGTTGCTCATCCAGCCACCTTGAGCTATACATCTGCTTAAGTTTAATAGTAAAATTCACCAGGTTTTTCAGTGCCAGAAAACTTCCTATGTTCTGATCCCCATTTTGTGAAACCGGAGGGATCTTTGCTGAGTAGGTTTGCTGGTTCTTTAATTCCCTCAAGGTACAGGGCATATTTGCATGCATAGATCACTTTAATCATTAATACTGCAAAGTATTTCTAGCTTGCTCCACCCTCTCAAGAAAAGCATGAGGTAGGTGACCCCTGGGGAAAGGAATAGGGGAGTTAAAAAATGGAGTAACAGGACCAAATCCTCAACCACAGGTGTAAACGCAGCCCTGTTGGCTTTTGTTTTGCTGGTGCTATGCAGGCTTTCCCCCGCTAGCGCTGTCGGCCTCTCAGAGCCACACAGTTGAATCATCCAGTTTTACCAGGAGGGCAGCCCTGACACAAGAAAGCAAGACAGAGCTTTTCTTTTAATGTCTTTTTTTTCCTTAGCCTACTTCTTCCTCCATCTCCCCTTCTTCCCTATGGAAGCCCAAGCATAAATATCTGCAAACTCCCTTGTAATTGTCATTTATCACAGTACAAACGAGATAACTCTCCATGTGGAGCAGAATCCAAATGTGCCCACACCTTGGTCTACCTAGTTCAGCAATGGCCTCCTGAAGCTGTGGCATGTCCTGGACCATGGTCAATCCTGGACAGGAGAGAGACACCTCTCCTTGCACCTTCTTTAAGCAGTAGCAGGGCAGTGACCTTGCTCCATCCTTTCTCCCCGCAGAGCTGTTCCAGGTCCCAGTGATCGGGCTGACCCTGCCAATCATGTGGTTCTACCTTCTCATGAACGTCATCACTCAGTATCCTTTCAAAGCTCGGCTTGAGACACGCTGCTG